AACAAGACAATTGATTTATTGAATCAGAGCAAAATCATGACAGCACCCTTTTGGGTACCTCAACCATTACCGTTCACAATATTTTGTCCACCAATGCCCAGTTTACTGCTCTCTCCAAATATGCCGACAATCTTTCCGCCATTCACCAAACCCTCACAAAGCATCACCTCAAAGGACACAGTCTCACCTCATCAAACCACTCCTGCCACAAAACGTTTATCGAAGATGTTTCTCGTCGAGAGTCTTCTGCCTTCTGTCGCCGAAAAACAAGCCACTCCACCGCCGGTCAGTTCCTTGACTTCGATTGTTGACTATCACTTCAATCACCTTACCCATCATATTATCACAAATGGTATTTTTCTATGAAACGAAATTTGCACTGAGTCTTCTGATTACCAATATTTTCCTTCATGAACTCAATAATGAATTCAATGAGTGCACAAAACTCAACCATACGATCCTGGTAGTAAAACTTAATCCTTACAAATCCTGCCTTACTGTTCGTGTGGACTCACGTTTGATTTGCGTATTCCGTCAGTAAATTACAGAAAAGATCTGAACGGCTCATTTTACACTTATTTCATTCTTCATGATTTTTTTTCTCTTGAATCCATCGCTCGTTCCAGTCACCTGTTACCTCTACTTAATGTGTAATTACCATTCGTCAATTTGCCTAAACCCTAATCAGTTAGCCTGAAAGTTTGTTGTATTTTTGGAGAGTTGTTGACATCCTTTGAATTGAATCATGTGGAAGAAAAAAAACGTGTTTTTTGGTAATTTTCGATAAACTTGTCCGTTTTTATTTGACACTTCTTAATGTATTGATAGATACATTACCGTATTGTGATCATCTGCAATTCAGCGGTTATGTACACAAAATGCATTCAAATAATTATTATAATGATTATGAAGATGAGTATGGTTGATAATTGATGCGTTTCAATTGTAGTCTTAAATGAATCACACAACGGCCCGGTGAGTGAGTGACAGCAGACCGGTTGGGGTTGATGTACATTTGAATGCATTTGAGCAGATCGATTCGTCGATTGATTGCACTGCCTTTCGGCATTAACTTGTTACTGCTTACCTCAAACACATCCTCGATTTATTTTCGATGATTCTATTCGGAGTTCAGAACGATTAACATCAACATCCTCAATGCCAAGTTCAATCATACTACTTTATTGTAGGCAGCAATTGTTCACAGAGCATTATCATGTCATTGACTTTGAAACTATTATTGAGTGTCAACTTTAAGGGCATTTAGTGACAGAATTAAAATCAAGAGTGAGTGAGATCTTTGAGGATACCAAAACCGTCCAATGAGTTAGTTTCAAGGGTAGCGGGCCGCGACTGCCAAAAATTTCATGGCGACTATCACCCGAACTCGTTTCCAATGAGATAAACCAATAAAGCTATGAGTCTATGGCAAAAAAAAATCATCGTAATGTCCAATTGAACAAGTGGTCAACAAACCCGGATAGTCTCTATCGAAGATTCACAAACTGCATTTGGATGTTGTCATCTCAAAGCAAATAAAGATTCGAAATGTTCGCAAATTTAATGCGAAACACAATTAATGGTGCATAACTTGGAATAGTTATACAAAACCAGATAACGGCTCTACATCAGCAAACAATTCCAACTTCGAGCAAACAACACCATTTTCCCATCAACTCGAATTCGGCTGACCTCATAACATGATTCTCAAACGTTTTTCTTGCACGAACTTCCATATCAATTGTAACATGCCATCCTCTATTCGAGTGATATGCAAACATCGTTTCGATAGCAACTGTAGCATTTATTCATACATCTTTCGTGGTGTTCTTCTCTAAGATTGCAAATTTGGATAGTCTCTATTACAAACTCAAATTCAAGACGAGATTACATCAAATGAATTAGATCAGACACTCGCCAAGCGTAAATGCTGATTTGATGACTGAATCGATTGCAGTTGATAACCTCAACAGTTGAATGGGTGAACGGTGGTTATGGTGTTAAGAATCCGATGCTGCAAAGTGTGCGTACAATTGATGTGGACACTTCACCAGCACCAACCTCAGAACCTGGACTTTTGACGTGTAGGATATGCGGAAAGGTAGGCATCTTCAGGAGTNCGAATGTTTTGCTCATTATAAATTAAGTGCGAATCACTAAAGTGTAATTGAAGATAAATATATTACCATGATTGCATGAAATAAGGTGTTTTATCAAATCCTAAAATCATGAGACTTTTCAAAAAATGAAGTCTACGATTGAAATTCAGAAGTCGGAATCCTGTGCGAGCTGTTTCGCGCATTGTTTCACTTCGTTTATACCTTCATTTTGACAAATGGAATATTGATGACAAATGGTGAAAATGATGAAATATCAAAGTGAATTGTCGGGAAATGAAAAATTCGAAGAATATGAGACACTGATCAGACTTCGAATACAATACCGAATTTGGATTCGAAATCTGATCAGTTGATCACAGAAAATTTTACACGATCTTGCACACTGAGAATTTGCACTTCTCAGAAAACACTGAAGGAATTGAGAAGGAACGCCAATTTTTGTGTTGAATTTTAGAAATTTGCACTGCAACGATTGCTGAACCGTCATGCGAAATGTCATTCGGAAATTAAACGATATTTGTG